CACCACCATTATCATCACCACCATCATCATCATCACCACCACCACCACCATCATCACCACGACCATCATCACCACCACCACCATCACCACCATCATCATCACCATCATCATCACCACCATCATCACCACCACCATCATCACCACCACCATCATCATCATCACCACCACCATCATCACCACCGCAACCACCATCATCACCACCCTAGCCATCATCCCCACCACCATCATCACCATCATCACCACCATCACCACCATATACTCACTTTCAACTCTTGTGTCTTTCAGCGATCACCTGGTACACCAACCGAGAGTAAACTCGATGAAAATATGTTTCATTTTCCAACTTGCCGCGTCAGTGAATGTATCCCAGAGTTCTGCAATCTTGTATATACAACATTGGTTGAAGCTACTGAGAGCAATAAGCCAGGGTAAGATCCTATCATACTCTCGTACTCTGGTTTTCGGTACGAGATTATAACGATTATATCAAAAGTATGGTGAATGTTGCGTTGTACAAAGGTTAAATGTGAACAAGGGTGACATGAGAGTTTATTATGTACATATATTATTTGCTGATAATTTTTCTTTTGCACTCTAGAAATGTTAAGTTATTCTACACTGCAAGAAACATGTTTGAACTGTATCTAGTGGTTGTGCCTACTTACTACGAAGAAGATTTGGTACGTTAACAAACGTTATTTATATTGCATAGTTCAGTTCCAAATTGTTCCCCTATAAGTCCGGTAAAAGCCATTCCTTATTGTTCCAGTGTTACTACAGGAGGAAACCTAAACTAAAGTAACTTTATTTATACTGGATAGCTCTATCAGTTCTAAACTGTTCTCCCTAGACTTCTACAGGTCCTGTAAGAATCATCTACAGTACAGCCCTAATGAAAGTTAACCATTCTCGCTCGATGCTATCGAGGAAAATGTTTCGAGTATCGAGATCTCGAAACCCACTCGATAAAAATTCTCGCTCGCTCGATAGGCTTCTCGAAACGCGCTTCGCGTTACTCGATACACAAGAATTTTGCGAGAAGCGAGAAATCTCGATGCAAACATTCTCGAGAATTCTCGTAACAAGAAATCTCGATGCATCCATTCACGAGAATTCTCGCAGCGCTATAATTCGTGTAAATTTTTTCGCAAAAAGTAACGTTGCTTCGCATGTCCGTGCGAAAACACGGAGTAAACTGAAAATAACAAATGACTGATCTTTAAGGACAACATTAAAATCCAGAAACATTAAAATCCACAATCAATATTTTGAAATAAAGACGAAACACAATCTACGAATAATAAGTATTATTTTACCTACAAAAATATCAACTTCGCTTTCCATGCCTTTCCATTCAGCATCACTTGGACGTCACTTCCTTTGACCGCGATGACTACTTCATTTGCGCTCAGTAACTTCTCACGCAACACATACGCGACACCACTAACAGTGTCTTGTCAGCGTAAAAGTAAAACTAACTAACTAAGTAAAACTTCGTCCAATTTCTTGAAGACTTGACATCGCGTTCTTATTTCTATTTCTATAATATCTCTCAGAGCAGGCTCAACGACAGACTTCAAAATAGTAATGAGCCTAAGACGCTTCAGATCTCGGTATAAATCAGACAGCATGTTTTTCACTGACATCATCTGTAACGCTCTTTTGTTTTCGATAATCCATACGAGACAATAAGTTGTCGGTGGAGTTCCTGTTATTGTGGTTATAAAGATGGTGCATGAATACAGTTATCCGTCACTAAATGCAATCAACCGAAGCGAACTAACATTATTTATAGCCTAAGGCTATAATTATATAGATTGCTTTTAGTGTATATGAGTCACACCGTAAAATTTTGGAAATAGTCTTATTTTCTATTTCTAACGAGTAGGTTGAACCGCTAATTCTAATAAAGTATATAATAGAAAGAGCATGCTTTTACTGACACTATAACATGTAACACTTCGAATAAACAGACGCTGATTTAACCAGGGAATTTTGTTTATCTTGTGGTTGGGTAAAGGTGAGTAACGAAATAATATAACCGCTATCACCCTATCATAATTATATTTTTAGGGAACTGGTATAAATATATATCAAAATATGTGACGTTTGCCATGCAAGGAAACAGCAATTATCATCCTACAGTATATTTCGCCACATGTTGGTCAAACTCTCGCTCGATTTCGAATGATACAAACAATTTTCGAGAACCCTCGCTCGATATCTAATTAAAGTCTTCGAGAACACTCGCTCAATAATTTTCGAGAACACTCGCTCGATATTAAAATTTTTCGAGAACGCTCGCTCGCTTCGCGCTCGCATTCTCGCAACTCGCAGATTTCTCGTTAGGGGCCAAATCGCGTTCGATAGCCTCTCGCTCGAACTCGCAACTCGCTCGTTACACGATGTTAACTTTCATTAGGGCTGTACTGTATTATTGATCCAGTAAGGGTCATCTCTTATTGATCCAGTATTACTGCAGGAGGAAACCGAAACTAAACTAACTTTATTTATACTGGATAGCTCTATCAGTTCTAAACTGTTCTTTCTAGAGGTCCAGTAAGGATCATCTCTTATTGTTCCTGTGTTACTGCAGGAGGAAACCTAAACTAAATTTAGTCTAACTTTATTTATACTGGATAGCTCTATCAGTTCTAAACTGTTCTTCCTAGAGGTCCAGTAAGGATCATCTCTTATTGATCCAGTGTTACTACAGAAGGAAACCTAAACTAAACTAACTTTATTTATACTGGATAGCTCTATCAGTTCTAAAATGTTCTTCCTAGAGGTCCAGTAAGGATCATCTCTCATTGATCCAGTGTTACTACAGGAGGAAACCTAAACTAAACTAACTTTATTTATACTGGATAGCTCTATCAGTTCTAAACTGTTCTCCCTAGAGGTCCAGTAAGAATCATCTCTCATTGATCCAGTGTTACTACAGGAGGAAACCTAAACTAAACTAACTTTATTTATACTGGATAGCTCTATCAGTTCTAAACTGTTCTTCCTAGAGGTCCAGTAAGGATCATCTCTTATTGATCCAGTGTTACCACAGGAAGAAACCTAAACTAAACTAACTTTATTTATACTGGATAGCTCTATCAGTTCTAAACTGTTCTTCCTAGAGGTCCAGTAAGGATCATCTCTTATTGATCCAGTGTTACTACAGGAGGAAACCTAAACTAAACTAACTTTATTTATACTGGATAGCTCTATCAGTTCAAAACTGTTCTCCCTAGAGGTCCAGTAAGGATCATCTCTTATTGTTCCAGTGTTACTACAGAAGGAAACCTAAACTAAACTAACTTTATTTATACTGGATAGCTCTATCAGTTCATTAACTGTCCTTCCTAGAGGTCCAGCAAGATACACACGATAATATGAACACATAAATTGTCTATTTTTCAGCGTGAACTACCCCAGATGTCCGCACTTCATTACAATAACTGTATGTACCTTGCACACCACCTCCTTACCTTGGGTCATCAATTTCTACCAAAGCTTCCAGAACATTTGAAACGTGGTGCTGCTACGTTTGTTGATATGATATCACCAATGCGAAATCTCGGAGAAAAGTGTTTTGAGGATCAGTTGGTATGTTTTGTCCAAACTTTCTGAAAATTGTCGAAAACCATTTCTCTCATCAAACAATGTTCTGAAAAATTTTGGTAAAATGCAAAGGGGGACCACAGGAAATTTCTTAAAAAATCAAAAAATGCCCCCAACCACTCCAAACTTTCTGAGAATTGTTGAAAACCATTTCTCTCATCAAAACAGTTAGTTTCAACTGATAAAAACATGTTTTGAAACATTTTGGTAAAATGTAAAAGGGGGGACCACAGGCTGATGATGATGGTGATGGTGATGATGGTGGTGATGATGGTGATGATGGTGATGATGGTGATGGTGATGGTGATGAATGTGATGATGACGATGGTGGTGATGGTGATAGTAATGATGATGATGGTGATGGTGATGGTGGTGATGATGGTGATGATGGTGATGGTGATGGTGGTGATGGTGATGGTGATGGTGATGGTGGTGATGGTGGTGATGGTGATGATGATGATGATGATGGTGATGGTGATGGTGATGGTGATGGTGGTGATGATGGTGATGGTGATGGTGATGATGATGGTGATGGTGGTGATGGTGGTGATGGTGATGATGATGGTGATGGTGGTGATGATGGTGATGGTGATGGTGGTGATGGTGATGATGATGGTGGTGATGATGATGGTGATGGTGAAGATATGATGATAATGATGATGATGATTCCTAACGGATCACATATTACTCTTATCCTAGCGAAAGCAATCCCATATCTTGCTTGATATACTTGATGGAGGAGGTGGCTTTACAGACCTATACGCTACACTTGTGGAAAAATCTATCCAGCAAGTAAGTGATTTCTACAAAAACCAATTCGTTAGCTTTCCAGCGATTCCGGGGCTCCTTTTAACATACCCTGACTGCAAACCTTCAAGAAACTTACTAATAGTTGAATTTCTGTCAAGGTTTGTCTTCAGCTTCGCAAACTGAGTCGTGTATGGAAGGATATCTTGCCTGAGAATATATACAAGTCAGCACTTGGAACACTGCTCAATATTTCATTGAACAAATTTCTGGCAGACATTCTCAAACTTGAGGTAGAAGCTTAATTATAATAGTGCACCTATAACCCAACTTGGTATATGCAAGGTTTAGATGGCGAACTTTTCACGCACAGAACCTAATCGGCAATTAAATACGGCACAAGTTCGGCAAGTGATTTAGATGTCAGACTTAATTAATTGTACCGTGCCAAAATACACGATAAGATATATCAGAAATATATATCACTACATCAGAAATTTCAGTGCTAAATTGCTAATATATCATCATGATATGTTGCTGTACGTTACCACATCTTAAAATACTCATTAATACTTTATAAACCTTGTGGCAAATCATGTCAGCCATAATATGTCACGTGGAGTGACTTTATATCTGATAAAACACATGCATGCATGTGGCATTATATAATTGTTCATCCTAATTAATTTTACAAGCTTTGTCACAACAAGAATACATCATGACAAATAACAATCATTACATAGGCCTATATAACATTACAAATGTGACAGGAAATCACAACAGCTTCAGGCCAATTACTGTGATCCCAAAACGTAAACGTACAAGTACAGTGTTACACAAACATACACACACATAGACACACATATATGTATATGTATATGTATGTATATGTATATGTATATGTATATATATATATATATATATATATATATATATATATATATATATATATATATATATATATATATATATATATATATATATATATATATATATATATATATATAGATATATATATAGATATATATATATATAGATAAGATTTGGTTTCGTTGGTTATAAAAACTTTTGGTAAAGTGCTCAATGGAAAACCAGAGCATATTTAAATTAAGGTACAACAATGAACAAAATCCACTAGGCATCTTTATTACTAAATAGTTTCATACCACAAAACGAAACTATTTAGTAATAAAGATGCCTAGTGGATTTTGTTGATTGTTGTACCTTAATATAT